TTGGAAATTTCACAGGATTACTTAGAAGATGTTCAACACTGATCTCTGCTCTCTGGTGATCAGTGAGAGAACAGCATGGACCTGTGGCAGGGGAGGTTTAGGTTGGATCTCAGGGAAAGGTTCTTCCCCCAGAGGGTGATCAGGCACTGAACAGGCTCCCCAAGGCAGTGGGCACAGCCCCAAAGCTGCCAGAGCTCAAGGGGTGTTTGGACAACGATCTCAGGGACAGGGTGGGATTTTGGGGTGTCTTGTGCAGGACCAGGAGCTGGACTCAATGACCCTTGTGGGTCTCTTCCAGCTCAGGTGATTTTGTGATTCTGTGATTCCATCTTATGCAATGATTACTAGATAATATCTACACTGCTCAAGGGTGGTTATTTGTTTGTGGAAGGGGAGCAGAGAGAGGACAGAAGGACACACCACTGTGTGGATGCTATTCCTGCTGGTGCTGCCTCTCGTTTGCCTGCTGTGCTGATGTGTTTATGAAATGCAGGCAGATTTATGGAGCAGCTTTGCATCGTTGAAGCATCCATTGATACCCATCTGCAGCCTGCTGGGCTGATACATTCTCCATTCCCAGGTGAGGAGCCCAGACACAAGGGATTAGTCAGCCCAGGGTGACACAGATCTCTATTAAAGCTTGGATTTATTCTCTAAGCTTCACGAAATTCCCTGGTAAGATCTGCTTCCATGGCCGCTTTTTCCTCCTATACAAGTTAATTTTTGACATGTCTAAAAGTTTGCCTTCAGATAAACGTATCCTGGGGTCACCCAGTTTTCAAACAGGCAGTCCTGGATATGTCTGTCCACAGAACAGCAAGTGCCTGGCTTTGAACCACTCTTATCCAACCGTGATTTGTTTGTGCCTCCTCAGAGGCACGGAGCTTCCTGAATAATTTGTTACCCCGTGTTCGAGATGAGTGCTCTGTTAGGGAGGAACATCGTGCCCACTTCTTCTCCCTGGCAACTATTTTTGTTTTCAGTTAATGCAGCGCAGTCAACCACCACCACTGGTTCTCCCCAAAAGCTGGAACAGTGTTGTGGTCAGGTAGTGTTGCTGTGAGACAACTGGAGCTCCTGTGTGCCCAGTCACCGGGGAGACAGAGAATAACACACTTCTGCACATACCAGTGTCTGCACACTGCTCTGTGCTGGTGCAACCTGCTTTTGTGTCATCCTTGCTGAGGATGGAGTTGTTCTTAGTGTGTGTGTGTGTGTGTGTGTGTGTGTGTGTTGTGGGAGTATCTTACCTCTGTGAGAGTCTCTTCCCTGCAAGCACAGGACTGCTGACCTGCACCGAGATTTGCGTGGCAAGTGCTGGGCACGAGGAAAGGGACTTCAGAGGAGTTCAAACATAACGCCGCAATTCCTCTCCTACCCTCCCCGAGAAAGTGTGTCTCCACGCTCTAATTAAACAGCAGGTTGACATGTTTTTGCTGTTTTGATTGCCTTTGAACTCTGGCGGTGTGATAAACAAACTTTGCTTCCCTGCCTACCCAGAAGTTGCGGTGCCTTGAAGCAGTTTGTCTCCGCTCTGATGTGGCAGAGCTCAGCACCCTCCTTCGGTGGCATCCTACGTGTGCTGCCAACGGCAGGGCGGGCTGGCAGCTGCCACCCCGTGACAGGTGATGAACTGGAGATGCTGGAGCTCTGACGTCTCGTCGACGGCCCCTTTTAGCTGGCTGAGATTTCAAACGCCAGCGCTCGGTAAACAAGCGGCTCCTCAGCCCTCGGCAGGCTGGGGCTGGTGGGGGTGCAGAGCACATTCCCTTGGATTGTGGTGAGTGCAGACACTTCACGTGTCTGGGAGCTGAGATGAGTAATCTGGGGGGAGGAAGGAAAGCAGGACGAACGGACTGGTTGCCACGTGGCGTAAATGAGAACTAGAACTGTCAGCCAGCTCCCAGGCAGCTTGTTCGTGTTTTAGAGTTTGCCCACAGAGAACAATACATCAGTTTTCCACAGGGAGATGTGCTGTGTGGGGTGGGCTACCCCAAAATTGCATGGTGGCCTGGGGAGGGGGCTGCTCTGACCTCCAGCAGTGTCCACCCCATCAGAGATGGTACCAGGAATCCTTGGGCAGAGCCCCAAGGAGCCTCATGGGCCGTGGTCACTCTCTGAGTGGTGTGACACATCCCCTGGATTAGTAGATGCCAGAGCATCCACACACCAGGTGCTGAAGAGGAGATGGGGGGATTAGCAAGTGGTGCAGAGAAAATAAATACATCCAACAACACTATTTACTCTCTCAGAATATAGTGGGACTGGCAGGTAAACGTGCAGCTCCAGAAGAGGATTATGGTTCATGTGATGCACAGTGAACCTGCCCAACTTACTGGCATCATAAAATTTGCAGAGGCTTAGGCAGGGTTTTTCTGGCTTTTAAGTTTGTATTGAAGCAAACTGTTAAAGACAGCAGGACTTTCACTGAAGGAACAGCAGCTTCATGACTTGTTTTTGGTACCAGTGTTGTTAACTGGCACGTCAAGCTCAGCATTTCTGGAGCTGTCCCCCATTTCATACGTGTAAATGCCCTGGGATTTCATTCCAGGGTTTGAAAACTAAGCCAGTGAGAAAGAATGAGATGTGTTTTCCTAAGATGAGGGGCGGACAAGCCTTCTGCTTAGGGGGATGGACAAACTGCCCACCCTGGAGCCAAGAGGACACTCATCTCCTCCTTGAGATGTCCACGCTGCCTACACAGGACTGTGCGTATTCTCTGGATCATCTGGCACACAAGCCACTGTCAGCAGCTCATAAATTGCAGCTCATGCCTGGTGTCACAATTCCCGTGTGAAACATCGAAGGCTGGCTTTAAATAATGTGACAGTGTCCCTTTTCATGTCCACACCGTGAGCGCCACAAAGCTTTCAGCCTCCTTGCTTCCATTCTGCAAGTGTGAAAGAAAATTTATCTCTGGCAGGCTTTTTTTTTTTGTTTCTTTTCTTTCCCCCGTGCCTGTTGGCAGGAGGCCCAATGTGCCTCAAATAGCAGCGAACGCGACGAGCTGAACCTGTGCTCGTTGCAACTCCATTAATGCCGCAGGCACTACACCTCAGATGCAGCAGGAGCATTTGGTTAATGTCCCCAAACAAGTTTGGATTACATTGCTTTACCCCAGCAAGCATGGTTTTATGATAAGATTGGTGTTCTGACTTCTTTGGAATCGTTCTTGCCTTTTTTTTTTTGTAATAGCTGCTATATAAATCATAGATTAACAGGCCATAAAGGTAGAGGAATCTGTGAGAATTGGAAAGTGCCTGGTTGCAGAAGTTATTGGTATTGGTTATGAGCAGGTTTCTTGGTGTTTTCACGCGCTGCTATTTACCCTTGCAAAATTTGGTGTTGAAATCTGACACTTCTGACTCCCAGTGTGGTCCAAACTGAGGTGAACACAGGGACACGGCAATGGGAACAAAAATCCATTGTTTTACGACCCAGCAAACATTCTTTAGACTCTGCAGGTACCGGCTTCATCACTTCCTCCTAGGGAGAGGAAAGAACTATTTGAGTTATGCAAAGTCACTCCTCTTTATTTGCAAACAATGGCAAGGCTACACCTTCTCAGGACTGGGTTTTATTGCAGCCCTGCTGCTCCTTAAGGACTTCAGCACAGCTGGAGCCTTCAAGACACTCCTAAAACATCCTAGACCTTGAAGAGATTTGCAGTGGAAATTCAGCCTCTGAGTAAGAGAAAAACAATTTGGGGACTGGGCAGCGAAATTTGCAATTTGAACCGGAGAGCTTTCAAAGGATTAATTTCCAGCCTTTATGGAGGTGACATTGATTTTGAATGAACTTTCCTGCGGTTTGTAGTTTTTACTGTTTCATTTGTTCAGCAGCTGAGCTCCCGAACACAGGGATGTGCATGGCGAGTACCTGGTGTGTAATCCACACCCAGCATGAGCTAATTGCTGCGCTGGGGTCGGTGATACACAGCTAAATAAACAGGCTCATGTGGAGGGCAAGCGCACTGGGTTGGTGTTTTTTTCCAGTTGAAGGAGTATTGTATGTAGATTGCACCCACTGTTCTGAGCTCTGCTTTGGCCCGAGGTGCTCGAGCGACTCTGAGCCAACTGGTTCCAGGGACGGTGGCCAAGTGCAAGTAAAAAAGGGAGAGTGGAGAGCGGACACTCCACCTCAACACTCACACCCACCTCAGCACCCACATCCCACCCCACACCCAGCGAGGGACAGGGGAGGGCACTGGGGCTGATGCTGGGAGGTTCTGGCGGAGTGGCAGAGGGGAGATGCTGTTCAAGGGGTGATCCCAGTTGGAAGGAGATGCAGGCTGAGGGAAGATCCTGAGTGATGGGAGATGGTGGTTTAGGGGGCTCCTGAGTGAGGGAAGATCCTGGGTGAAGGGAGATGGAGGGTCCAGGATGCGGTGGGAGTTGGCTGGGGGGCTCTCAGCTGAGGAGTGTCCTGGCTGAGGGGGGCTCCTCACTGAGGACAGATCCCAGTGGGGATCCTGACTGATGGGAGAGTCGGGTGGGTGCTGACTGGGGTCTCCTGGCTGCAAGGCTGGCCCTGGCTGAGCGGAGCCCCTGCCTGGGGTGGGAGCAGCCTGGGGGGCTCCTGCCTTGAGGGGGACTCCAGCCTGAGGACAGCCCTGGCTGAGGGGCTCTTCCCAGGCGAGGGGGCCACACTGTGCCCGTGATAGGGCCCTGAGGGGTCCCTGCCCGAGGCCGAGCCCACACACGGTGCGGGCCCATCACGGTCCCGTTGCGGTCCCTTTGCGGTCCCGCCCGTGACGGCCCCAACCCCGCCCGGGAGGGGGCGGGGCCTCCCGGGAGGGGGCGTGTCCAGGGCGTGGCGAGCCCGGGGGCGCGCGGCGGGACCGGCCCCGGGAGGTTCCGGGGGCGCGCGCGGAGGGGGCGTGTCCGGCCCGTGAGGGGCGTGTCCGGGCGGGGCGGGGCCTGGAGGGGCGTGTCCCGTGGGGCGTGTCCCGGGGGCGGCGCGGAGGGGCGGCAGTCGGGCGGCAGCCGCGGCCGGGGCGGGAGCGGCGGCGGCGGCGGCAGCGCGGGGCGGGCAGCGTCGCCCCGTGTAATGCGGCATGTCCAAGACGCTGCGCAAGAAGCGGCACTGGCTGAGCAAGGTGCAGGAGTGCGTGGTGTCCTGGGGCGGCCCGGCGGGCCCGGACCCCGACCTGCTGCGCGGCGGCGCCGAGCGCGGCGAGTTCCCGTACCTGGCGGGCCGCCTGCCCGCGGGCGGCGAGGGCGCGCAGGGCCCCGTGCTGCTCTCGGGCAAGGCGCCGGCGCCGGGGGACGTGCTGCTGGAGGTGAACGGCACCCCCGTGAGCGGCCTCACTCACCGCGACACGCTGGCCGTGGTGCGGCACTTCAGGGAGCCCGTGCGCCTCAAGACCGTGCGCCCAGGTGAGCGCCCCGGGGGCCGCGGGCCGCACCGGGGCCCCTCCTCCCGCCGCCGCCGCCCAGCCGGACCGGGGCCCTCCCGCCGCCGCCGCCCAGCCGGCCGCGCGTAGGCCCGGCCGCGCCGGCGCCCTGCGGGGCGGCGGGAGGGCCGCGGCGGGGAGCGGCGCCCGGGGGGACCCGGGGGGGGATCCTGGAGGGGGACAACCGGGGCGAGGGTGCCGCGCTGGGAAAGTTTCCGCGGCTCCGGGAAGGCAGGGCGGGGGGGGGGGGGGGGCGGCCCCGCCGTCCCGGGGCAGCACCGGGGTGGCCCCGGGGAGCTGTGCCCTCCTCCGGCCCGGCCCGGCCCGGCCCGGGGGCCTCTCCCGGTGCGCACCCGGGATGCTCCTCGGAGCCGGTGGTGGTGCGGTGTGACCTCCGCTGTCCCCCCCCCCCCACCCCCCGGGTCACTCCCGGAGGGTCCCCGTGTCCTCTCGGAGTTGTTTTCCGTGCCGTTCGCACGATCCGCTGCTCGGAGGGGTGAGTGGGGGGATGGCCGGGCCGGTGCCATCGCTCCGTCTTGCTGGTTTTTGCCAGAGACCAGCACCCAGGGCGAACTCCCGGGTGTTCTCTTTCCATGGGTTTGTGTTAATTTTGAGCACTCTTTAATTAGCCGGTGGTATCAGATGGTTGTGGTAAATTCTTCTTTATCAACGTGCCTGTCAAATGTCAGATTAATGCTGAATAGTGGCACCTGCAGCCACACGAGCTAATGATTCAGGAGCTCCAGACGTACCTGCTGCTCTCCCGGTCAGGTATTCCAGGTGTGAGCCTGATGTCTTGTGAGAAACTGTCTTGGGAAAAAACTGTTTGTCTCTGAATCCCAGTGGATTTCAGTATTTCCATGACTCAGATCTGTAGTATTTCTTCTAGAGCTGGTTTGCTGAACACCTATCTTGTCTTTCTTTCATAACTGCTGGGTGCTGTTTGACTTCAGGTAATACGTATTTTAAATCAGATTTCCCTTGTTTGACCACTAATGAAAAGTCATCTCCCATATAGAGATTGTGCTGTTGGTCCTGATTCACGTCATTGCTAAATTAAAAAAACGGACACGCACCTTAAAAGCACCTACATAAGCCTGGTAGGTTTTGAAAGATGTTTTGTTTTCCAAAACTGGAGAAGTGGAGATCTCCAAATGGAGAAAATAGAAAAGAACAAACAGCTGCAAGTTAGATGTGAAATAAGAGGATTTAAAAAAAAAAAAAAAAAGAGGGACAAATTGTTTAAGATAGAAAATAATAATCTCTTTTAAAAAGAGAAAGCCTGTGGAAGATGAGACCATAGTTCAAAGGGATTTCTCTGTTTACTATGGAGGGAAATAGGGTTATTCCTGTACTGGGAATTTCCACAACAGAGATGTCAAACTGCACAAACCGGCAGAAAAGATTTAGAAGAAATTGGTGTGATTAATAGTAGAAAATGTCGAGAGCCAGGTGATGTTTGCGAGGAGTTCCAAATATGAAGTAGTAACAGCAATGTGTTGCCTGTTCCTTAAATCCTGGGTGGTGTGGAAGGGGTAGGAGGTGGGGAACATGGTACCAGTGGGGAAAAGGGTCCAGAAGATCAACAGGACTGACTGGCGGTTCCAGCAGGTTGGTTAAAACTCAGGTTAAAAAGGAGAATATTGTGCATGTGAATCAATACCACTCGATGAGGAGAGCAGGCAACTGTTTAGAAGACACGTCTCTTAATTTCAGGAGGTTCGCTGCGTGGTTTAATCAAATGCGAGCGTTTTTGGTGTAGAGGATTTTCAAGCAGACTTTCAGCATCAGAGTCTTGGACGAGGCTCTTGCTGAGTGAGCGTGGTGTGGCTGCCAAGAGATAAGAGCCGAATTCTCCTGTGGGTTAGTAACTGGTTCAAATAGAGGGATGGTTTTCTCAACAGAAGGAAACTGCTGCTGGGATCTTGTAAGGACCTGTGCTGTTTAGCATAGTCATCCCCAGCTTGTAAACCCAACGCTAGGTGAGTTGATAAAAGAGAAGTTGCGTTGATAAAAGAGAAGTTGCGTTTTTTGTGCCGATTTTATGTAACTTTTGGAACACACTAATCTGCATCTTCAGATCCAGTGATTTTTCCCGTGCTGGAACATATTGCAAGCTTATTTACCACATCAGATGACTTTCGTAGTCATTCTCTGTGTTAGACTTACTGTCCTTAAATACAGTATTTTAAAACATACTGTTTTTTGGTAGTTTTTTTTTTTTTTTCAAGGCTGCCACAGCTGCTCAGTGGCAGGTTTCCAGTCAGGGTGTATGTAATTAGGAAAGTTGTTGACAAGGCATTCTCTGTAAAGACCTGTGACTTTGAATTTGTGTTCCCTTGTGATCCAGAGCCATCCAGACCTTCCAGACTTCAGGAGGCATCTGGGAAGACATGTGGGGTCGTGTGGGTGGTGGAGGTGAAGGGAGCAAGGGCTTGGGAGCTGATGGTCCCTGCTGTGCTTGTAATACATCAGAATCCTCAAAGACCCCTAATTGCATTGCTGGTCTTCAGGGTCCCATGTTTCATGCTTTTTACCTGGTCAAAACTGTTCTTCCTCATCATGTTGAAAGGCATGGAGTGCTGTGCCCCGCTGCTCCTCAGCTTTGGGTGCCGTTGGGACAGAAGTCTGAGGGCATCCAATGTCAGGGGTCGACAGTGAGGGATTTGTCTCTCTGTCTCTGAATTTTAGGGGTGCTCACAGTCTGCCTCAGCATTTCACGAGGGCAGGTTTGGTGCTCAAGAGCTGGCTGCATCTTCCAGGTGAAGCCTGTGCAGGTGACCCGCTGGCCTTGAGCAGGACGTGGGGGAGCTGGACTGCTTTGGTTCAGAGTCGTAATTATAGTCCTTCATTAAAGGCAGCGACAGCTTTAGTTGACAGCAGTGAAATCTGTCTGTGATACTTCTCGCAAGCTCGTAGAAAATTTAAAATGGAAATTTCAAGATGCTGTTTAGGCTTGTTTGATAAGACACTTGAAGGATATGAATGTTAATTTGAACGCCATCTGTTAACTGCACATCACAAACGATGGACCATTTTGTTGAGGAAGAAATTCGTCCTTCTCCGTTCTTACTCTGTCTTTATTAGCTGAGGAGGGAGAACCAGACCCGTGCGCTGAGGGTAGGTATTGTGTCCCAGGTGAGGACAGCCTGAGGTGTGTGGGATAGCTGGAAGATCCATGGATACGGTATCAATAGGGATTTACCCAGCAAAGTCTGTGGGAGGCCGGTCTCGAGCTCTGCCAGCGCACCTGGACCGATGCTGAGATCCGAGGCGTCTGAGTGGAACTTAAACTCTAGGTGATCATTGAGATGATAACCATACCTCTATTTGTGCGTAATTCATCAGCATCTCGACGAGATGAGAAAAGCAGCCCTACAGAGAGCGTGTGCAGTGGGATATCAGTATGGATGTGCACGGAGGCTGCCGGCGGCCGGCGCCGGGTAATGAGTCCATTTGTATTTTAACCACGCTCGGGAAGTGCTGGTTCCCAGCTAATCGCCTGCTTACATGCATCCAAACGATGGCTGCTGTGTGCTCCAGGACCTTCCCTGTCTGGTGTTACTTGGATTAGGGCATTATCCTTGTAACTGGCTGGCGCTGCTACAGGTTCTTCTGTTTCCGTAAAGGAAAAAGGGAAATATTTTGCTCACATCTGTTGTATGAGAGTGCTAAGTTCATCTTCTAAAGGTACTTCACTTTCCTTCCAGTACCTGAAGGCACTGGAAACATGAGGGTGCTACAGGAAGGATGGAGGGGGACTTTTTACAAGCACAGGTAGTGATAGGACAAGGAGGAGTGGGCTCAAACTGGAAGAGAGTAGGTTTAAGTTGAATATGAGGAAAAAATTCTTTACTGTGAGCCTGGTGAGGCCCTGGCACAGGTTGCCCAGAGAAGCTGTGGCTGCCCCATCCCTGGAAGTGTTCAGGGCCAGGTTGAACAGAGCTTGGAGCAACCTGAGCTAGTGGAAGGTGTCCCTGCCCATGGCATGAGGTGGAATGAGATGAGCTTTAAGGTCCCTTTCCAACCCAAACCGTTCTATGATTCTGTGATTGCACAGAATCTGTGATTGCATGTGGCATTCATGGGCCTTGAGCAACCTGCTGTAGGGGATGACATCCCTGCCTGTGGTGGGGGAGTTGGAGCTGGATGTTATTTAAGGTCCCTTTCAACCCAACCGTTCTGTGATGATGATGATTCTGTGATGATTCAGAATTAGACAGAAAGATGTTTGTATGGGCAGGCAAGCCTGTTTGCTAAAATACCCGTCAATACAACTTTGAGTGTCTTCTTCACAGCAGCATGGTAGCCAAAATACATCAAAACTAGACTGCAGGCCTAAAGTAAGAAAAATCACTGATATCTGCAAGTTCCTCTTTCTGCAGGCTGGCTTGCCAGATACTACGTAGGAAGGAATGTGTTTTCCTTCCAAACTAAGGAGCTTTGATGAATGCAGCTACTCTGTGGCAATTATTATGGTTTCATGACCGCTCTGACTAGCATCTGGGAAGAAATGGGCAGGGTCTGGTAGCTCTTCCACTTGAGAAATGCTTCCAGAGCGCATAGTTTGGTCCCTTTGGTTACGGAGGGAATGCACGTTGGCTCCATTGTGTCAAAACTGATCCTTAGTCAAAAAACGCAAAAAGATTTAAAATGATGGAAAGTCGTCTTCAAACTAACTTTTTTTTGCAGTGCTCCTGAAGCCGTTAAATCTTGATTTCCTGTAGATCTATTTCACAATTGAAGTTCACGCTCATAGCTGGAGCTCTTCCTCCAACTGGGGCATTTGTTCCTTGTCTCCAGTCGGGATTGCCTGGCCTGTGGTACGTGCCAGTTTGTGCTGTGATGGGTTTTTTTTTTCCCAGTGGGACACGTGGAGGAAATCCCAGCTCATGCCAGAGAACTGGTGGGATCTTTTTTCAGCCCTTCACGTGTTTTGTGGTGGATCGAACGCTCCCCAGCCCAAAGCTGACGTGTGTTTAT